TCTCCGCAAAAGAACAAAATTTCATTGTTTCCAAGCCTCACAGCAAGGATTTCCAAACGGTATTCTGTAAAGCGTAATCCTTCACCTTGGCATGTTTTTCTGTCAAAATTTACTTCTTGCCAAAAAAAACAGCATTTTCATAATTTGCTGTGAAGATCACCAATTAAGCAACCTAATATGACCTAATATTCCTACAACAACTTCGCTAACGCAGATCGATTAAATCAAATCCAGCACAAAAAAATCGAGTAGCCGAATACTGCAAAAACTGACACTACACCTCCTTTCATCTAGCCTAGAAGCATGTGATTAAAAGAGATATTTTATGATGGTTGTCACTCTAAAACTATCCACATCAAATCTAAACTTTATATCCAACAGCTATTTTACAATTTCAAGAAGAAGAACAAGTAATGTAGGTATTTGATTACTTTGCTAGGGAACAGTTTAAACATGACTGGGGCAAAATACATTAACAAACACTTAACCAAAATAATTATAAGAAATAACCACAACACTTTTTATAACGGTTACAGAATACGGCTACGACCTTACATTAAACTAACTTAGACCTAAAATGGAATATGGAGTAACTCCTGCAAAATAACCAAGCTCAGTGTTTAAGCCGTTACTGCATCACCATATGCGGCACTCCTTTTGTTGCCAATCAAAACTAATTTTGGAATATTTTTTTGAGTTCAAGATTGATTTCCTGTCTCACAACAGCCTATAAAGCTACAACAGCTGGGGCTAAATATCATGGTTAAAACTAACCAGAAAATCCTTTCACTTTTTGCGACCATACTCGGTGTGGGGAACGATAGTCACAGCTAGAGCGATAAGAGCTGCAAGTGTTAAAACCAAATAACCAGTCTTATACACTGATTTGATATCAGTGAACTTTGCCATATCAAAGCAAATGAAACGAATCCCATTCAAAGTATGGAAAGCTATGGGAAAAGCGATAATAAACTTCAGTGCGTCATATACTATAAATGGCAGATGTAAATCGCGAATAAAATTTATGAACTGCGTGAAACTTATTGGACCAGCAGTAAACAAAAGGCCTCCGATAAGAAGCGTGCCTGAAAAGCACAGCATTTAAATAAAGTCTTCTATGATCTGTTCACTAACGTCTTCCCAGTTGCTGATAATACTCTTTTAAGATAAGAAGGTCATCCAAATTACTGATTAATTAAATAAAATAAATTTAACAAACCAGCCATGGCGCAACCGGTGACTCTATGTGCACCAGATACCATCCATGTGAGCTGTTTTTGATAGATTTTTATATGAGGTGCAATTGGCCGTTTTAAATATCGCTGGCGCATCAAATAATCCCAACCCCATTTTTGAATCGGTGTTTTTTCTGCTTGACGAATAGCACTTGTCTGCAGCAGTCTCACAATCTAAAAAACAACAATTTTTTAAATCCAAATTAAAAATAAATACCAGTACCTAGAAATGTGTTACTCCCAACGTAATACACCTAACTTTCAGGTGAAAAAGCTTTATGTTGCAATTTTCAAATATGTAAGCAACCTGGCAGTTCTGCTTCAGAAGCCTGGCAACTGTTGTATTGAATGGCAACATTGCTTTATGGGAAAAGCTGTAAATGGAAGCAAAATTACCAAATTAGGATTAAATCGACAACTAAAATGAAAAGTCATTTCAATCCCAACGACAATGAAAGTCAGCGGTGTGAAAGAGGATACTGATAGTTTCGCACTCAAATTACAACGCTCAACACAACTAAAGCAGGAATTGCCTCATGTAAGGGCAAAACAAAAAAAAAGTACTAGGAAATTAAGCTTATCAAAAACAACTTTTGCTGGCCTGAAAGCTTTTTTTATACGTCCATTATGCCTTAGAAGTCAAAACTACAGAAAATCAACATAAAACTGTTGTCAAAAATAATATTTTAACATGGCTGAAAGTTTCCCGCAGCAAGAAACACTTCAGTGACTACAGAGCAACTATCAATTCAATTTCGCACCTTAAAAATGGATAAATGAAGGACTTAGTGTCAAAAAAAATCAAAAACGGCCCAAAAATTAAAAGCCATTATATGAGAAACTTATCCCCACTACCAATGTTACCTTCTGAATGGCACATAAAGAGCAATTACACTGAAAACACCTCACTTTTATACGTGATACACGAAAAGTCCTAAGCAAACTGACGCACCACTACGGAACTGATGTGCGTGCAGTTGAAGAAAATTTTCAACCGTCCTCATGGTCTCAAAACGAAAATTATTTTGTTAATCACTGTTGGGTTTGAATTTTTGCCAACTATTAATTACATTTTCCACCTTCCTGACACGTCTGTTTTTTCGACGTTCGGCTTTAACTTTCCAGCAGATTTGTGGCAGATGTGAAAAATTCTGTTCTCGAAGAGAATGCGCCCAGGGTAGGATGAAGTCATAGTAGGTTATATTACAGTAGGTTACAATAGGTTATACTGACTATTTATTTCAAACACTGAAGTCATTGGTAAAACAAATCGCCTCAATGACCAACGGCCGGTTGAATACATACCTTAATTAGTCTGAAGCTATCCATTCGTACAATTATATACTTTTTAAATGTCTTTTTATTTTACATGTTCTGTTCAGATTGAGGCTTCAGAAATGCAGGTGTATTTTTTCTTTGACATTAGTCAGTGCGATTATATAATGTAACAGAAGTTTACAAACACCTTTTCAAGTTGTCGAAATAGCATTTAAGCTAATAATGACTAGCTGGCACCCTTTGGTGTTCCTCTAGTTCTACTGTTCGGGTGGCACAACATTACTTCCTGAATGATGAAAAGTGATAGAGAATGAACTGGTTTCTTGAGTGTACGAGCGATTTTTGAACATGTTCTCTTTGTGCTACCTGTACTATTGTTATATTAAGCGGCCTCTTCCATAAAAATACTAATGTGGTGGTAATTTAAATCCAGATCGTTTCTTTTAGGATTTCTTGTTGCTTGTATTTAATAATTTTCCTTACGTTCTTGTTAATTACATTTTCAAAACATTTTTAAAATGTCTCTCTAGTCAGACATGGGAAAAAACAAAAGATCCGGTCACAGTAGTGCTATCATCGTTACGGAAGAAGGCAAGATCGCTGAAACTTCAGAAGGTTACGCAAATAAATATGACTCGTCAAATGCTCTGGTTGTGGTGGCCAAAAAGAAAAAGGTAAATAAATTATACAAATTAATTTTATGCTCAGTATCTTATGTTTTAATTAATGCATTTTGTAAATGTGAACTTTAATTGCGTACTGGAAAAATTTTTACATTGTGGCCTTTTGTGTCATTTTGTTTTGCAGGTCAGGAAGGCTCGAAAAAGTGAAAAGATTGTTAATGCAAAGAAACTAGAAGCAAGAAAAAAACGTTTGGCAGCTAAGGAAGCTAAGGAATCTAAAGCGAATAAGAAGAAATTGCTTAAATTAATGGAAAAAAAAGTCAAAAAACAGTCGGTTAGTGGCGCTTTATTTAGTTTCATATTTTTTCAAAGGCATTTTATTTTTACTATTGTTAACTGATTTAGAGGCAATCTTTATTGGAATCACTTAGTCAATACCAAGCACCAAGTGATTATTACAGTCGGCTGTCTACAGAATCTGAGCTGAAAACCAAATATGGGATGAAGAAGCAGTAAAGCTTTCTAACTTGTCTTTTTTTTGCTATTATTTGTTACCTCAGAAAAATCTGCTTTAACTTGTGGGAAGTTGTTTTTTTTTTTT